AGTGTGAAGCTATTCAGCCAAACTCAAAAAACACTTAAAATTAACTCCTGCTGAGGTCTTCTTACTTTCACTTTCACTTTAATGCTCCTCATGCTTTCATACTAATGTACATAGGTTTAATTGTTATATATTTTCCATGAAGTGTCCTTTTTTCTTTTTCTTTTTCTTATTTCTTCTGTTATACAAAGTTCAGAGAGAAAGGAAATGAGTCTCTCACATTTCACTTTACACATTTTTATAAATAGGTACTTTTAGAATCCAATAGATGGAGGAAATTTTAAAATAATAAAAAATAAGCGTGTTACAAAAAGAAAATAGAGCAAAATGTCAGCTTGTTTTTTGTGTTTTCTGAAGATTTTTATCTTGAAAACAAAAAACCAAATACTTTGTTACTTTTGTTGTGATAAATAAAAAAATGTCTTTCTGTAAACCAGTGTTTTGTGTTTTTCTTGACATGTTTTTCTTCATCTTATTTTACTGTCCTGGTTATAAAAATAATTGTGATAAATTGGCATCACTTTTCTGTGAGAATAATCTGAGCGCACGTCTCCAGTTGAGCGTTTTGTAAATGAGCTTTAACGTGACTGTTCAGAACTTCATTCCGTGTTTTTTAAAGAGCTGCACTGTTTTGAAAATGCAAAGCTTCGATTGCAGAAAGTGCAGGCGTGAGTGGCAAACCCACAAAGATCTGGGGTTTGCGTCAACCTGCAGATTTCCAGAGTGCAGCTCTCTCTTCAAAGGCCTTCTGGGTTCTGCACTTTTGCATCCTTGAGATCTTTGTTTTTGTTGAAGTGAAGCACGAGAGGATGAAGAAAGATTTTTGCTGAACTAAAAGACACAAAATCTGCTCAAAATTAAGGTAAGAGCTCAAGCTTCATTTTCAAATTTAGTTTCATTTGTTTCTTTTTGTTTTATCTTGTAAAATGGATTTAATGTGGTTATCCTTTCTTTTCAAGCTTACTGGCAGAGGCACCAGTTTAAGAGCAAATACAGATTGAGTAGTGTTTCAGAACGAGCTGCATAAAGGAGTCCAAGTTAAAACCATTTAAACAAATAATAAGAAAAATTGTCAAACTCTGTTTCCAAGCCTTGATGTGTACAATAACATTAATTTATGATGTTAAAGACATAAATTCACTCATTTTGAGATGTGAATGTATTTATTGAGATTACATACAACAATATTAATGACAGAACTGAGAATCAGAATTTAGTTTTTGGTCTCAGTGTGTTGTTTGGAGTAATTGATTAACTTAGTTTTAAGCAAAAAATCTTAAATGTTAAGTGTTCAATATGACACAAATTAATTGGATCTCAATTAAGGAAAATTTGTAAAACTGTGTTTAAAGAAATTTCAATGATGGGGTCACTTCAGTGGAGACACATTTCTATTTTTCTTCTTAAAAACTTCTCATTTCTGATGAGCAGTCAGATAAAGTTACAGCAGATTTACAGGAAACACCTTCACATGAGCTGTTGGTGAGATTAAATTAAGGAGCCACAGGAAATGTTTGACTTTCTCAGTGAGACTCTTTTTCACTTTTTAAGTGTAATGCCTGGTTTTATTATTTT